CATGATTTGTAATAGCCATCTAGATACAAATCAATACGTTATTGTCATCTAGATACAAAACTACATTCACTTGATGTCCGTGTCTGTGTGGCGCTACTCCGAATAATTTACATTGTAGCCCGAATCATAAAGCTCTCGGCTGAAAATTTACATGCATATATGGCCAAAATTAGAGGCGCTAGGGAATTGCCCTGGTGAACACGGCGGCGCACAAGGGCTGGGGTTTCTAATCGGAAAGGTCTGCAGTGATGCACTGATCCATCGGCTCATGTCCATTATATGGCATACACCCCTTGTATTTTTCGACCATGAAAATGTGTAAATACTAAGCAAATATCATATGATACTATGGAAACCGCCCAACAGAACATTCTGTAATATAATGTTTGTCTTCAGTAGATTTTTTTGAAGGCGTATTAATTACGGATCATAGAGGGTACCTGACGTCTAGATGTCACAAACAGCCTTTAATCATGACACCACACAGCACGTGGGCAATGTGTCACCTATAAATGGTCAAAGGTTGCGGTATGTAAACGAATCTTTAATATATCAGTGCTCTGTTGTGGCTTGGTCACACGGTAACCCATATCACATACAAGTAAAAGAATGTTTGGTGATTTATATTTTGAAGCTTCTTGACACACATACTTGGATTAATTGAGAGCGTCACATTACATTTTCACATCTGATATAGCTATATCAATCTACGTCAATGTTTTCCAGATACCGTGATTGTGTATCGATCAAGAGTAGCACGTACATTTCCTTGATTGCTATAGCTACATCAATGTATTGACCAATCTACGTAAATGTTTTCTAGATCAATAATGTGAAACTTTGGATTGATCCATACCATCTATTATATCTATATCAATGTCATGGAAGTCTATGTCAATAATTTCTAGATTAATACACTAATTCTTGGATTGATCTAGAGGGTCTCATTACATATTGTAGACTGATATAGCTACAAATCTATATCAATGATGTCTTGATCAATACCATGATTCGTGTATCGATCCAGAGCAGCACGTCCATTTTCTGGATTGATATAGCTATGTCGATGTATTGGCCAATCTACGTCGATGTTTTCTAGATCAATACTGTGATTCTTCAATCGACCCAGAGCATCTCATCACACTTTCTTGATTGATATACATGAGTATCTTGGCCATTCTGCGTCAATGATTTCTTAAGCAAATATATAGCGACATCAATGTCTTGGCCAATCTACATAAATGATTTTCCGAGCAATATCGTGATTTGTGTATCGACCCAGAGCAGCACGTCCATTTTCTGGATTGTTATACGTACATCAATGTCTTGGCCAATCAATATCAATGATTCTAGATCAATACTGTGATTCTTCGATCGGCCCAGAGCATCTCCCTCGCACTTTCCGGGCTGATATAGCGACATGAATGTCTTGGCCAATCTACGTCAATATTTTCTAGATCAATACAGTGATACTTAGATCGATCCAGAATTTTTCATCATATTTTCTGGACTGATATAGCAAGATCTGTGTCTTTCCGAATCTGTATCATTGTTTTCTTGATCATTACAGTGATTCATGTATCGATCCAGAGCATCACATCCATTTTCAGGATTGTTATATCCACGTCTTGGCCAATCAACATAAATGATTTCTATATAAATACTGTGATTCTCGAATTGATCCAGAACATCTCATCACATTTCATGATTGATCTAGATCAATACAGTGATTCTTGGATCGATATCGAGCGTGTTGTCACATTTTCTGGACAAATATATAGCTACATCAATGTCTTGGCCAATCTACATTAAAGATTTCCCGAAAAAAACCATGGTTCGTGTATCGATCCAGAGCACCACGTCCATTTTCTGATTGTTATAGGTGGATCAATTGTTTGGCCAATCAACATCATTGATTTCTAGATCAATACTGTGATTTTTGGATCGACCGAGAGCACCTCATCACTATTTCTTGATTGATATAGCTACACGTGAATTTCTTAGCCAATCTATGTCAATGTTTTCTTGATCAATACCGTAATTCTTGGATCGATCCAGAGCATCTCATCACATTTTCGTGATTGATATAGCTATGTCAATCTCTCGGCCTATCTACGTCAATGTTTCTAGGACCAATACCGTAATTCTTGGATCGATCCAGAGTGTTCGATCACACTATCCGGGCTGATACAGTGACACGAGTGTCTTGGCCATCAATGATTTCTTGATCAATACCATGATTTGTGTGTCGACCCAGAGCAGCACATCCACTTTCTGCATAGTTATATTTACATCAATGTTTTGGCCAATCTACGTTAATGATTTCAAGAACAATACCATTATTTGTGTATCGATGAGCAGCACATACACTTTCTGCATAGTTATATTTACATCAATGATTTTCAGAATAATACTGTGATTCTTGGATCGATCCAGAACATCTAATCACATTTTCTTGATAGATAAAACTATATAAATGTCTTGACCACTACAAGTCAATGTTTTCTAGACCAATAACGCAATTTTTGGATCGATCTAGAGTGTCCGATTACAGTTTGTGGACTGATATAGCTACATCAATGATTTCTCGACCGATACAGTGATTTTTGGATCGATCCTGAGTGACTCATCACATTTTCTTGATTAATATAAATATATCAATGTTTTGGCCAATCTACGTCAATGATTTTTAGATCAATACCGCAATTCTCGGATCGTTCCAGAGCATCTCATATTACTTTTTCTGGGCTGATATAGGAATATCAATGTCTCGACCATTCAGCATCAATGATTTATGTGATTCTTGGATCGATCCAGAGAGTCTCATCATATTTGCTTGGTTGTTATAGTTACACCAATAAAATGGCCAATAAAATCAATGTTTTCTGGAAACACGACTACATCACAACTGGGTTTTAACTGATATTACTCCAGTTTTTATTTATAACTAGATTTTACCTATAGTTTGATTTGGCCAATCAGCATACAAATATTTAACAACAAATGTTGCTCACTTGATTAACACACATCAGGCTTGAGGTCTGCCCATAAGTTGTTCTATTAACACACACACATGTATATGTGTATTATTTTATCACTAGTTCTTACCAACTGATCACTGTGCACAGGCATGTGCATGCTAAACACAGGCATGTGCATGCTAAACACAGGCATGTGCATGCTAAACACAGGCATGTGCATGCTAAACATAAACAAATGTTTCCTCTTATGTCCTATAATGTTTTGTTGTAATACTGTTAATATATTAACCTTCAAGCCTCCATTCAAAACAATACTTCTCTGTAGTTTACATTAAAAAAAGGATCAAGAGACAAAATGAAAATACATTAAATGTTAATTATTCACATATTCTTTCTAAAAATTGCTTGAAGCATAAGTTTGTTGAGATACTTTCAATATTGACTTATTTTGATATTAGTAGTCACTATAACAAAAAAACAAATTCTGGTATAATGTCTTCGTCCATAGCACAGACACTTGTACTCAATGTAAAAGAAATCTATCTGACATTCAACAGGGCCATCCCTGCTGTGTCTATAACTACTTAATAAAAATGTGGGTAAAAATCTGTTGGTTATTTACAAACTATTTGCAGCAATTGTCGTCTTTTACTATTTTGTTGTCAAACTTACAGTACGTTTTTATGTAGAAAGTCAGATCATATCCATACTTTCAAAAATGGCTTTCTTATTGTAAACTGTCTTCTACAGTTCGGTTCGACAATATGAATATACACACTTATATAATAAAATATTTTTTTTCAGTGTATTCAATATGATCATATCCATACTTTCAAAAATGGCTTTCTTATTGTAAACTGTCTTCTACAGTTCGGTTCGACAATATGAATATACACACTTATATAATAAAATATTTTTTTTCAGTGTATTCAATATGATCATATCCATACTTTCAAAAATGGCTTTCTTATTGTAAACTGTCTTCTACAGTTCGG